AATGTTCATTATAGTTTCAAAAGCTCTTAGATGAAAGTAAGGGTTATCTGTTGCCTTGAATTTTGGGATGTCAGTGGCATTGAACTTATGCGGAAGAAGTTCCTTGTCCAGCGAGACCCCTTGTGAACGAAGGCCCTGAAATTTATAGTCACTAAATAGCTTGCTCAAACTTTCTTGCATAAGGTTCATTTGTTGTTGCTTCACAGGGTCATCAATTTTGAGGGTTAAAGCCTTTAACACCTCAGTCACGTCATTCAATTGATTCCTAAGTTCATTGACCTCTTCTTGACTTGCCATTATCTTTTTAGACTTCCTCTTTTGATGAATTGGTTTATCAAAAAGTGAGACTTGAATAAAGAGGTTGTCCTTGATTAATCGCCCTTCTCTCCTCGACCAAGTACTTTATTCAAACTTTATTCAACATGCAATGGATGGAGGAAGTGAAGAAAAATTGGAATAGAATGTGAAGGAAAATGATGTAGATGGAAGGATATGAAGAATTAGGAATATAATGTACCCCCAACTCAAATGACGGAAAAGACCGACTCATGCATGAACCTAAGACATGGTCATGGTGACATATACTCGAAGTGTATGCTAAGACTAGTGAGTGTAGGTGATATGTTAAGACTCGTGTCATGATCATGTGGCTAGACTATGTGACTAGACTCAATTAATGACTTAACAAGGTATTATTGACAGTAAAATTTAACCGAATTAATTAGCAAACTGGTTAATTAGACACTAGATGATGACTTGATCAATAATCCGAACTATCGTCAACACGACAGGACTGGCGCCTCTCTTTGTAGTGTAGCGCTAGACGACAGAGCTGTCGCCAGGCGCCACACTCCACAGAGTGGCGCTACAGTCCAGACTTTGGCGCCATTACTGGAGCTTCAATCTGAGACTGTTTTCGGTGTTATTAATCAACAGGGGCATGCCTAAAGTCGTACTAGGTCAATTCTGATTAAAATATTAGACTTTATTTATTCAAATTAATTAATTAATTAATTAATTAGGCAAAGTTCTTTAAGTCATTAATTTTTTTAATCTCAACACAAGTCAAACAAATGGTTAAGAAAACATAGTATATGCACAACAAATAATGCACAATTAGTCAAGTAGGCACAATATGATGCAATGAGTTTGCAACCTAACCATGGCTCTAGTTCTCTAAAGTTCGGGATATGGTTTTGTCAATAGAGGGTCCATGGTTAATTTTTCGGATGCACCGCGCGGAAGCCTAACCGTGAAGGGTTGGCGCGAGTGGATGGGACACCGCGAGTTTAGAAAAAACTCGCTTCCATGGTTTGGTGAATTCAACAATCTCGGATGTACCCTTTGTTGCTTAGAGCGTTCAATCAGGTAGATGGAGCATGAATTCCCAGAGGGTTATGTCCATATGTAGAACACATATGGGTTTCAGAAAAGTGAGAAAAACTCAATCAGGAAGTAGGATCGAGCAAACAATACGAAAAACTGGTCGAAATTAGAACGCATATTTCTGGCTCGGTATTGGAAGAATTTGGCGCCAGCAAACAGAGATTAGCGCCAGGTTTTAGCTGTAGCGCCTGGCGACAGAACTGTCGTCTGGCGCTACAGTTAAAAGTCTGGCGCTAATGCTCTGGTCCCTGACGCTAATTCCTACATGCCTCAGCAACTGTTTGTGCTCGATAAAATTTTCCAATTTCGCGCAGTGTTATTTCAGTCCTAGTTGTGAAATATATTTCTCAAATTTCCAACGTGTAAAATCCTATGTTTTAACTCATTACGGATGGTCTTTCCAATGAGATCTTTTTTATGCATATGACAATAATGTTAATCAAAATTACGCACATGGAATACTTAGAACGTTTCGAGTCTCATCCACTCATTCTAAATCGTTGCCGAAACAAATTCAGGAATTAAAATAGAAATCTTCCCCAGCGGAGTCGCCAAAAAATATAGGGTATATTTCAAGCGTTAATCCCCTAGCTTGAACCCCACTGTGATCATACACTAAAGTATGGTGGCGTCCAAAGGGAAAGAAGATAGAGCAAAAGAGTCGCCAACAAGCTTTTTTAGGAACTTGTAAACCGTTCACAAGGTGAAGGTTACACCCCTTAACGATCCAGGAGATCGTCAACTCCAATAAGGTCTTGAACCAAATAGGATTCGGTGATGAAGGTACAAATCCAACCTAAAAGAGATTGAACCTGCCCTAATAATAGGCCTTTACTTTATTCTGATCGTACTCATGTGCGCTTTCTGACTAACATGCAATCATTAAGTTTACCCTAAACCTGTTTATCTATGTTGGTTGAATATTAATGAACAAATAAATCTATTATTGGCGTTCACTTGAATTATAATCAAATTAACCCTAAACAAGATTATTAATTATCTTATATAAGCGTGATTACAAGTACCAAATTCCCTTTAAACATGCATAAAAGGCGTGATCAAGCAATAACAATAAATATATCAAGCAAAATGATCATAAATAATAAATTAACAATTATTAAAATAATTATAATATTCATGTTAAAGAATAATAATATCAAGATCCTAGGCATGATACTAACAAGATTAATAACAAACCCTAGCATGTCACTAAACAATAAAAATCAAAGCTTTAACCCTAACATGATACTAACGATCATAAATATTAGGAAGAACATAGGAAGCATCATAACAATCATACTTAATATTAAAGTTACCCTAGACATGATACTAGGAATATCATAAAAACAACCTAAGCATGATTTCTATATAATAACATCAATAAAAACCATTAAAGTACTTACTTTGATGTCTCGTACCTCTTTCTAATAACAAAATACACACGTTACTAACTTCAAGGAAAATAATAATTAAAACAATTAAATCAAATAATTGAAATAGAGATTTGGGACCAAACCCTGAGAATTATCAAACCTTTCACGTCTAGGGCGAAGGCAACTTCGAACTTGGCTAGGTGTGTCAAGTGCTAATGTATGAGGAATTGTGTTTGTAAAAAGCTAGGCTTAGAAAGAGAGAGAGAGAATTAAGAAATTCTTGATGAAACTTGGTGAGAATTGGTGAAAATTGATGAAAACTGATGATGAAAACGGAGTTTTTAGGAGACTATTTATAGAAAAAATCAGTCAAAAAGATAAAACATTAAAACAGAGTTCTGACGCGGATAAAAATTGATTAGCGCCAACGCCGGCTATTGGCGCCAGACGCTGACCTTAGCGCCAGGCGCCACGCGTAGCGCCAGGTGCTACAGCTGGCGTTTGGCGTTGACTCAGAAATTCACGCGTTTTCTTAAAATCAAATAGAAATTACCGTACAGGAGGATAAAATCGTATTTTCCTCAAAAAACGTTCTTTGATTTTAATTAAAACTCTGAAAAGTCAACAAAAGTCAATTTATCAATGCTCATTGAATTAGGAATGAAAAGAACTTTCTAGAAGAATCTAGAAAACTAAAACCATTTCTAATTGCATTAGGAATGATAAATCATATTAGGCCCTCCTCTAGATCATTGGGCCGCATATAAGGCTCAAACCGGGCCCAATTCAGTAATTTGGCCATAACTTCCTCAATATTCATCGGAATTGGGCTTATAATATATCGTTGGAAAGGTCTTTTCAAGACCTATCCAACTACACTACTATTGGACCCATATCATGGACCAACTAAACTGTATTGGCTGTTTTCTTAAAATAGGTTTTCAAAAACAGTGAGAAGAGAAAAGAAATTAAAACTTTCCGCAACGCTAAACTTTCCACACTTTCACTTTATTCGATTATGATTCGACGTGAAAGGTCTCATCACTGGGTTTGGTTTTGGGGAGATACAAATGGGTGTCTACAGGCGCTTTATGCATTTAAGGTGTCATTGGCATCGAGGTAGAATTAAAAAGGATTCAACATTAAATATTATGTGGTCGCTAATTATTTAAGAATGAAATTGGTATATTTGATTGATTGAATAATTATTGTTGATTGAATGATTATGGTTTGAGAGTCATCACCAATTTTAATAATCTGTAAATAACATAAAGTGAAAGAGATTACGCACCAAAACTCTTGGAACGTATATACCTTAAGTATGAACATATGGGGGGAGTTATGGGGTTTTATATATAACCATAACTTCTACTGGAGTACAGGACGCTGCACATTCCTTTTATTATTATTATGCGCAGGAATTCCGTCACTTACGAGTGGTTATTGATGCTGGCACGGTTAGCTCCCGTGTCAGTAACCTTAAATTTATTTGGGGGAGGTTGAGGGGGAAACCCGTTCGATGCGTAGTCAACATTAAATAAATTATGTAGTGTCTAGTGAGAACTTTTATTGAATGTTGTATGCTTAAAACACAGGTGCAACGAGGTAAGTTGTGTGTTGATTGGAAATTATATGTTAGTGTGTTAATTACGCTTATGTACTCAGCTTTGCTGATTGTGAGTTTTGTGTGTTTGTTGGCATTGTCTTTACCTTGGCCCTATGATGACCCATTTTTAATGGAGAGTAGTGGAAACAAGTAGAGATAAACTTTTCAAGTGATGAATCATTTTCATGAATGGGCATGAGTGAAGAGCAAATCATGCTAGTTTCTATAAGTATATGAATGTGTTATTGCTTTAATTATTTATGACTTTCACTACTACATAAAGTAGCAAAGAGACTCGTTGAAAAATGCTTTACAAACCGCCAAACAACATGTCTCTAGCTAAGGGGTCTGTCAAATTAATAAACCGCCTCTTTGGAGGGGTCTGTTTTAAAAACATAACAGATCTGTTAATTAAGAAGTAAGGTTTGTCAGACTAGTACTTTGAAAAATTATTTAGAAGGATAAGAGACCCGTTATTAAACATAACATGTCTTTTCGGTGGGGTATCAAACAGACCCTATATACTACATAACAGGTCTCTTTCTTCTTTTGTTTTTTAAAAAAATATCTCGTGATTTTTTTATTATACGTAGCATTTTGAAATTTGAATTTCATTGCTTTATTAAATTGGCAGATTACTGAAAATGCAAACTTTGAATATATAATTAAACAAACTGACATATATTAATTATTGAAATTTACAAACTAATTACTAGAATTTACAAGTGGTAGCTTATTGAATAATTTACAAGTATATACTCCATACAACCATACATTAATAGTGTATCTTGTACTTCGTATTCCTTCCATGATTATCAATAGCATAACCTGTCCAATGATATAAACAATATTAGGAATAATTATTCCAAATAATATAACAATATTAGGAACAATTATGCAAAATGTTATGTAGTTATATGAAATTAAAGTATGTCTTGCTAAAGTAAGAGCCAATAAACAAGTCAAGATCCAGTAAAATGAAGAGCAATAATCTAATTTAACATTCAAACTAAAAAAAAAATACAAAACAGATAAAGATCAGAACAATACACCAACAATTCAACACCACTAGACTACCTTCACACCCATATAAACCATCCTTGACGGCCCAACCCTCCTAAATACCCTAGCCGCCGCCACTGCCTCACCGCCAAAAACAATCTAAAGCTACACCACAACAACCCCCATAAAACCATACTCACTCAAAATCCAAAATCAAACGACCACCTTGAAAAAACTTGTTTTTACCCACCAAAAAAACTGCAAATTCTACTACTACACAATCTTCCGTCCTTTCTCATATAGATCTACGGACCTTATCTCGAAAAATTCGATCCGGATCTCAATGATTAGAGCGCAATTTACACAATCACATGATTTTTCAATAGATCCAACAAAAGGATTATAATCAATATAATGTAAAGAAAAAATTGAGAGTATAAATAGAATCAAAAACCTGTGTTCACTGTTACCAACATCTCCATCCTTCGAGTTGTTTCTTGGTTGTGACGTATCATCATCTGGGGTTTTGAAAGGCTCTTGAGTTGTTCTAAGAGCTCTCAATCTCTCTCCTCTCAATTACTACTTGTTCAATTGAATCTTCTTCCATCGCCATTAATGCATGCTCAAATTACTTCAATATTTATAAATTTAGGTAATGAAGATTGTTTTTGACAAAGGTAATGAAGATAGAATAACAAAGATGATTTCAATGTATGGGCTTTAGAAAAGGGGCGTTGATAACTAAGAATGAAATCAGAGAGAGAGAAGGGAAGAGATAAAGAGTCACTTATGGGAGTGTAGGAAATAAAGCCACGAAATATAAGTTATGATATAAAATAATTAAGAAGGTAAGAGACCCATAAGTCTGACAACGGGTCTCATAGAACTCTATTGTTTTTTTTCCATCCCAAAATTAGTGGGCCCTACCGCATTTTAGAGACCCGATAGGTTTCACAACGGGTCTCTTGTATCTCCTCTTAATAAATTGGTGGGACCTGCTGCACATAAGAGACCCGTTATCTCTAATATTAGATCTCCTATATCAAACATACCCATTATTTAGATGACGGGTTTTATATAAGGGGTCCTTTTTCCAGATTTTGTAGTAGTGTTTATTTTTTATGTGTGACTAATGAAAAGGGTTTTGAATTTCATTTTTGTTTTAATAAGGGCCTATAATGGTTCCAAGTTGTAGGTTGATTTTATTTTACTTCGTTTGACTTTGGTTTGACTTTAATTTCGTTGTTTGATTTTCAATGTTGACTTGGTTTGAAATGTTTTGAAATTAGTCTTCCATTGTGTGTCTTTGATAGTTGCCTTAACCGTTATCACGGTGGCGGTAATGTCTTAGATATTCCTATTTAAAGTTTTAAACAGGGCAAAATAGGTATTTTTAAAAGGAAGGAATTTCTAGGGTGTTAAGTGGTATCTGGGAGCTTTGGTTGAGATTTTATTACCACTAAAGCTAAAAACGTGTTTTAAAGTGTTTTAATTGTAAACTTGGACAAGTACTTATTTATTGGTAAAACTTTTAGAGAATTAATTTTTATTTTATTCTAATTATTTTATTTTGGGAAGATTAAATATTTATTTATTTAATTTAAAACCAAAACTTTTTTTTTATTTGGTTTGATTTTTTTTTTTAAAAAAAGGGGCCAAAATTTTTTTTATTTATTTAAATGGTCCGAATATTTTCTTTTTTAAGAGGGAAGGTTTGAATTTTTTTTAGGGAGGTCCGAAAATTTTTCCTTCTTTCTTATTTAATTTTGAAAATTTTAACTATAAAGGAGTCAAAAATATTTTTAGGTTGTTCATTTTGCAGGAAAGCAAAGATTAAGGTAAGTATAATGTGTTAATAGCTTTTGAAAAGCATGTTGGTGAGATTGGGCAGGAAAGAAATTTGGTTCTATAAGTTAGAGATAATCATGTTCTTGTATGCATTAATATTTAGGTTGTGATGTTTAATTATGTTTTTGGATTACTTGTGAGCATGTGATTAGGAATGATTGAAATTGTTTGATTGAACATTGAACCTACTTCATGCGAGAACTGTATTATTTATTTATTTATTTTTTTTTTTTTGGGAAGGGAATTCTTTTCTAAGTCTTTTCCTTTACAGGATGCCAATCTTACCTAGCAAATTCACCCAGTTGGGCACACTCATTAAGAAACATAATGAACACCCCTATGATTATGTAGAAAGAATCCGATATTTTTGTTTTTATATGAGTAATGTCTTACGAGATAGAGTTTATGATACCCCTGACCGCGTTTCACCTATGATTGTTCATTGTCTCCCAGAAGAGCCTCCTTATCTTGCTGTTAAAGAAAGATTTTCTGACTTTTATCTTCCAGGAGACATTCCAAACTACCACAAATACAAGGATTATTATGGTCAATGGTACCTAGATTATGCTTTCTTAACCAATTACCTTGTCAGGGTTGAAAAAGCACATTATCAGCATTAGCATCTTCCATACCACGATTATTATTATAACAATCCAGTAGGGAATATTCCTCCACCAGGTCATCAGTCCGAAAGTTCTTCTTCTTCTTCTTCTTCTTCTTCTTCTTCTTCTTCTTCTTCGTCTTCTTCTTCTTCTTCTTCTTCTTCTTCTTCTTCTTCTTCTTCTTTCTTCTTCTTCTTCTTCTTCTTCTTCTTCTTCTTCTTCTTCTTCTTCTTCTTCTTCTTCTTCTTCAGGGGGAAATCAAGCAGAAAATGGGGAACATAACAACAGGAAGACAGTTCACTTATGGAGATATCAAATCCAAATCCACCTCCAACTTCGATTGTTATAGACATCTCATCCGATGAGGAGGAAGAGGGGTGTTTTGGGTGTTTTTGTCCCTCGGGAGAGTTACGTCACAGAGATTGGTCCGGCTGAGTTGTACCTGCAAAACAACGGAGACTCCGGGTGGTTGGAGCTCCGCCTCCGAATATCAAGTTAGTAACTTGAAAGAGAATAAAGAGTGCGGAAATTTAGGTGGGGATCTGCTTGGATTCCAAGCTCAGGTGTTTCTCTGATGAGAGAGAATGTAGGTGTAATAAATGATTGAATGTGTCCCCAAAATGGGGAAATATCTCCCTATTTATAGGGTCGTTGGAGAATGTGCCCCTATCTAGGTCACTTGACCTAGATTTTAGTGGGCTGCGCCGTTTTACGGTGCTTCTAGGGATTTGGGCCCTTGAAGGCCGCTGTTTCGGGGTTTTCTGATGTCCTGCGGGAGAGTTACAATTCCGAGACTGGAACCGGACGCCTGTACCTGCAAAATAACGGAGACTCCTGGGAGCTCCGCCTCCAACGGTCAAGTTAGTACCTGATTAAGGAGTAATTAATGCGGAAATTAAAGTAATAAGGTCTCTCTAGGTGAGAGTGTTTAATGTAGGTAATCTGCTTTGTTAGCGAGATCAGCCGGTTATTAGTGTGTTCCGTAATGTTTCTGTTCTGTTCTCCTCTCCCTTAATGAGGATTAAGGGAGGTATTTATAACCTTGGGAAACGTGCCCATCCTAGGTTTAGGTAAACCTAGGGCCGATTGGGCTTCCCTCGGAAGTTGGGCCTGGGTGGCCGGTTTTCCCATTTGGCATGGGTGGACACGTGGCGTGTCTCAATTGGTCCGTAGAGGACGTATCTGTGACTGACACGTGGCAGGCTCCTATTGGCCTACGTGAAGGACACGTGGCGGAACCTAGTTGGTCCACTTGTCAGACGGTGATTGGTGGATAAAAATCCCCTAATCATTTGCCCCTCACAGGTGGCACGTGACTGGTCACGTGTCACCTGTGACAGGTGCCGCACGACGACAGGCGACGGCCTGCTACAGGTGTCACCTTGCAAATGGCCGAGAGATTTTCCCGCCCCAAATTTTGAATTTGGAAGCGACCCTTCGCCTTCTCACTTTGCCTATATAAGGAGGTGCTGACTTCGGTCATTTTCACATTTGAGAACTTTGCGAGAACATTCGGACCCCTGAACTTGCTCTGACACTTTGGACTTTTGTTGCCTACCGCCTGCTCTGACAAGCCGTTTGCAAAGGATTTCAGAATTTCATCAGTCGTCACTCGTTCAGGTAACCGTCGGTTCTCTTATTCTTGATTTTTTTTTCTTATTATTATTTTTTGAAATGGCACCATGGAAGCACACGACACGACCTAAGTTAGTGATCAGCCGGTCACCGGGGACGGCTGAATCTAGGACTAGGAGTGCCGCCTGCCCTTTTCTGGACCCATCTTTGCCCTTTATACAAAGTCCGACTGTATCTGTGTCTATGCAGAACGTGATGGCCAGAACAAAGAAGACTGCTAGGATCTCAAACTCGGACGGCTCCTCCCAAAGGGTGCCCATTAGTGAAACATCTTACCAGGCGCCAGATGTAGATGGGAAACAAAGCGGCTGCCAAGCCGACAGTTCTGAGGGAGGGGTCAAGGTGATTCCTTCCCATTTGACCGTTGATATGTCTAACTTTTCTCCTGCTCCTTCTAAGGGAGAGGAGGCGGGCCCCTCGGGGAGAGGGGAGGAGTCGTCCTCTTCGGACTCGTCAGAGGACGAGTCCGAGTCCAGCTCTTCTGGCCACGCTTCTCCAGGCTCAGAAGAAAGAAACAGCCGCCTACAAGAGGCGAGGCTTTCTCATGCAGTTGAGAAGGGGGGCAATTGGGCGGAGCCGTCCGCCTCTTACAGAGAGGAGAACACCCCCTACTACTGCACGGTACCCCGGGGCCGGATCGCGGCCATGAAAGACAAAGTGGAGAGCTTTATAGCTAACCACAGAATGGGCCCCGGATTTTTACTGTTCGTGCCGGATCCAGAAGACACTGTCGTCTGGCCGGCTGGTACCAGCTATGATGGCGGCTGCTTTGGCTGCTATGAGGCGGCCATCAAAGCTGGGCTGCGCTTCCCATTACATCCGGCTGTTCAGCGGATTTTAGACGGGTATGATTTGGGGTTATGGCAGTTAGCCCCCAACTCTTGGGTAAACGTACTCGGCTATGTGCCGGGTGCGAAATGTATGGGGTGGAGCCAAACTTTGAGGCTTTCGCCCACATGAACTATCTCAGCCGGACCCCTAAGTCGGGCGGCACCGGCTGGTATCAATTAACAAGCCATAGGGGCTACCTCATGACGAGAGGTAAGGCGTACAAATGGAAGGATTGGCGGAATACCTTCCTTATCATCGAGGGTTCAGACACGGAGCTGAACAAACGTTTTAACAAGTGGAATAGGGATCCGCCTCTTCTCGCAGGCGGCCGCAGCATGCCGCCTGTTCCCCCAAAGGCTAAAAAAGAGATCCTAGACAAAGGACTCTTCAAAGTAGAGACTAGGGTGAACTCTACTTCAGGGGTACGAGAGCAAGTACCCCTGAACTGCGTCCCGAGCTTCAAGTGGCTCTATGACGAGTACTTTTTGGCCGCCTGTGGCCTCAGCAGTCGGTGCTCTAAAGGTAGCCGGCCTGACGAATACTCTGTTTTTCACGCCTTGTTTACTTGAGATTTTTACTAACTTTGCTGTTTATTTTTTGCAGCTGACGCCATGAGTAAAATAACAGCATCCAAGACTGCGGCGGCCATGTTGCGGGCCTCTCTCATGCAACAGTCCTGTACCGACTCCCCCAACAAGGGGGCACCCTTGGTAGGCCTCGAAACTCTTCCTCTTTTAGGAGTTGGTCTTATGCATATACTAAATTTTTTTTTTTTTTTTTTTTTTTTTTTTTTCAGTCGGGCACTCCAAGAGCTTCTTCCTCGCAACAGCCGGACCCCAAGGCCCGGAGGACGACTGTTGCAAGCTCTCCTGGGTCTTCCAGGAAAACAGTGGCGGCTGAGA